GGAATTTTACTGGCTAAGGGGACATGCTACGATGGTATGGTGGATCCAATGCTGATGGTGGTGATGGTGATGCAATGCGTTGGTGTGTGGAGACAGGGCTTGTTGCGGTCCAGTTCTTTGGTGATGCAAAAGTGGTGATAGACAAAGTTAATGCAGGGATCACTCGAGATGCGCGGGCTGGAGCGATTTTTCAGGAAATCTCCTAACTTTGTGCAAGTATTGTTGGGTTTATCATATACGAGGAAATCTCCTAACTCAATATGTTTTTTTTCCTTCACTTGACCGATAGGTTTATCATATACGAGTCCAAATGGTGAAAGAAGGAAATTTTTTGTGGGTAACCACACCCACCCCAATTTCCGCCCCTATGTACCATGGTGGTATGAACAAACCAAGATTGTAGGATGGTTGAATACATGATAGTAGAAGTATATTAACTGTCATTTACGACTATTAACATTCTGTACCACAAGATAGCACATCGTACCAGGGTGGTATTTTGTGGTATTGTGTGATTTTTTTGTCATGTTACTTGTTAACCCAGAAATTTGTAGATCCAATATATCATGATGAACTTGTTCCTTCTGTGCAAACATTTTAAAAAATGAATTAAAAACGAAGAAGATACCATATGGTATGCAGTTGGTACCGAGAGGCAAAAATTTCTTTTCTAAAAAAATATTGAAAATGGAACTCGTTTTGTAGAGCACAACGAACTCGTTCCATCTGTGGAAAAAAATTGAAATCCGAGTTAAAACGAAGAAGATGTGAGCCGATTAAGAAAACAAGAGAAAATAAAAATGACATTTAATTCTTCATCCTTAGATCAGGATTTTCTGAATGAAGGGTCCAGATTTATTTATTGATGGGTACATAACCCATGGTTACGCACCCTATCTTAAACCAGAAATGAGAAGGAAATGGGTTTTAAGAATAGGGAAGAGAAAACAATAAATAGGAAAGGAATAGGGAATGGGGAAAAATAAAATAAAAAATGAATGACAGAGGACGGTGGTGTTGCACGAAAAAAGAGGCTGCTATGATATGGTGTCGTAGTTCGTACATAAACCCATTAATGCAAAGAAATTTAAAATCAATCAACAGTTGTGCTTTCTTAGCCCAATGTAGTGAACCCAAACTTACATGAAACCTCCCGAAGCTAATCAGAATATCCCTCCGTGAACAGTAAATTCCGATTTTTTCTTAAGGAAAAGTAATTTTGTTTTTTGTTAATTTTTTTTAACTTGTGGTTTAATAATTCTAATACTACTCAGCTATGGATAAAATCATAGAAAATGGACAATATATATGAAATATATTGATTAATTAAGTCATTTGCAAGAATTTGTGTGCGGATAGTACAGGTAGACTAGTAGGCGTGATCCCGAAAGAGTTCACTTGCATATAGTGATTAATTAAGTCGTTTGCATGAATTTAAGGTGAAAATCACCTTTTTATTTGTCGAAAGAGATTACTTGAATTACCAAGAAAATGAAAGTTACACGAGACCAACTTCTGAGAACAACCACACTCGGAAGTCAAAACCAACACAACACCCCGCAGGAAACAAATCCAGGGCCTTCTTGGCCACAAAATGGGTCACCCTTTTATTTTATATTAGTCGTTTGTAATAAATATACAACTCAGCTGTAGATAGAACCATAGAAAATGGACAATATATATTAAATATGGAGATTAATATATAGAACTCTTTTCCTTGGTTGGGTCATGTTGGTCTAGTCATTAGTGTTCCTGATAGGTGGCTCCTTCTCAAGCTCCTCCTTTATTTGGATAGGTTGAGATGGTTGCTCCTCTAGTGGCTCCTTTCCGTCATGCTCCATTTGAGGTTGCTCATACTTGTTTGAATTATCCTCTATAATCTCTTATTTTATGTTCGATTCCAAGGGTTTTGTTAACCTTTGAATAAGAGGTGAAGGGGGGTCATCATACTCGAACTTTTTCCTTCCGATGTTTACGATGGTGGATTCCTTGGTAGGTGGATTACTCATGGATTCAGATTATGTGAATCCTTCAACATATTACCACAAATCTAAGAAAGTTTGGATTAGTGTAAGCTCTTCAATAATGTAGCCTTCTTCCTCCATTGCTACTCCTAGGGGTTGTATCTCATCTCTCCTTCTTCGAAAGTTGTAAGATAATCATCTTCCTTCTTCAAAGAAACATACATGTATTACTCACTACACCATGGAAGCTGAATAGCCCTTGCGGTAGGTGGAACAGAGGCAAAATGGCTAAGAAATATGTTGTTAGATATAGAGTTGTGAGGATCATTGCCACGATCAAAGGTTTCTAAGTGCAAAAATGTCATTGTGAGGTCTATTGAGGAGAAGATTGTAGAAGATAAGTTTGCTTGGGGACAAGCAAAGTTGGGGTTATTTGATGACACATGAAAGTATCTATTCTATACCCCTGTATTATGACCCAAAGTGCACATTCCCATCAATAGTGACAAAATACATTGAATTACTGCTATGATTTTTTCAAGTGTTTTCTAGCAATGCTAGGACTTCTTTTATACGATTGATACACTTTTGGTAGCATTTTGTGCATTTTCAAGGGAAAGTAGTCTAGTGGACCACTTGGAAGCCGTAGTGGGAATCGAGCCCAAGTTGCTTGAGCCAGGATTTGAAGACAAAACTCATAAGCAAAATGGCTCTCGAAGCACTATTTCAATAAAGAAAAAGGGAGGCCACGATGCCGTTTTAGGGAGCCGGTCCACTTCGTCAAGAAGTTATCCTGGAGCATCCTAATTCAATGGCCACGTGTATGGAGCGCTCTGATTGGCCGAATGATGCATGAGGGGCGATTTTTCCTCCTCATAAAGCCTAATGGAAGATCTATAAATAGGGCTCTAGAGGTAGAGTTTAAGAAGATGGAGATGAGAGGTCAATCAAGGTAGTTACTCTGCCGATAGAGCAACCCTCATGACTTAGATCAAATTGACCCTATGAGGGAGAATCAGCGCCCAAAACAGTGTTGTAGAGCCTGTTTACTCTTTTCCAGCCGTCGATTCCCGTGGACTTCCTGGTATCTTCATTTCCATTGATGAACACCCATAAACTCCTCCCCATGATTGGCTAAGTTCCGTAGTTGCGTAGGTATGTGAACCTTAGGGGTTCTGACTATGCAAACTTGTTGATTTGGTTTAATACGATTGTTTGGTTTTCATATGTGTGATCCTTGATTTCATGTGTTTTGTTATTTGTTGATTCGAATGACTGCTTATTTGATCTTGCACTCCTTCGAGGTGCAAGGATTGGAATCCTAGTCATTTAGGATAGGTCTAGAAACAACAATCCTACTCGATCGAACCTCATTCAATGAAATGGTGTGATGCCTCAAGGGACAAATTCAAAGTGTCCTAATCTCCTATTGGTTTGGGTAAATGCTTCGACACAAGGTGCGATCTAATGAAATAAGAAATCGGAGCTTGTATGCTCCGGGCATAGAGGGCGCGTGTTTAGGAGCCCTGGGGGAACATTGGATATGCAACGCTTTCCGTCTTTGATCTCTCCCTTATTCTCCTTCAGCTAGCGTAGGTTTACTTTTCTGCATCGCTTTACTTTCCAAATTCTAACGTTTTGCATACCTGGAGGGAGATTAACCTCTTAAACTATCTATTTCTTTAATAGAATCGTACCTCACTTCTGAAACAAGGCTTCTGCAAGAGGCTCGAGGGAATGAGATCTTGTCCTTATGGCCATGTAAATTTGGTAGCGATAATACAATTGACATCAACAAGTTATATGACAGTTTGGGGCTGCTGTTAGAGGCCCTGCACATAGCGGCTAGCCTGTTCTTACTTTGTTCGAGAACGTGAAGCCAGGGCTGAAATAGAGCCTCGAAAGATCTCCACCACTCGCCAACTAGCAAATGTTTTTACTAAAGGCTTGGGAGCTTAACAGTTTGCCTATTTTTACTCCAAGCTTGGCCTGAATGACATTCACGCCTCCGTTTGAGAAGGAGTGTTGCGAGTCATATACTTATTTATTGTCGACATATTGTAGTTGGTGGTGTGTTAGGTAATTTTCCTTGAAACACTAGTTGGTAGATTTTGGGTAAGTCGTATATAGCCTTAACTAGGAGGCTCGGTGTGTGGATGTGAGTAACAAAAGAAAACGCCTAGCGAAATTTACATTGAGTGCAGTAGCTCTCGTTTAAGTAGTCTCATTCACGTTGAATGGGGAAACCGCATTAAATTGGTATGTTCGTTCTTTTTTCACGTTTTGTTTTCTACACCCCAGGGTCTAAAATATGTAATGAGTGTCAAGTTAATTAATACTTCTTTATTGCTCTTGTTTATATTAACAATCTCACCGAAACAATCGCAACTTCCAAACTACTCATGGGTTGATCTTGATTTAACCGATGAATCCAGTGGTTGAGTCTGGTTGAAGGGTAGGGGTGGCTATATCATCATACGTAATGTAGTTGGAATCATTTGGTAATAGAGTAATTGTTAAGGTTTTGACTTCCCTCCTATATCAGTATATCTTATTTCAAACTCTTTAGTCGTAATTCAATGGGGTAATGTCATTGTTAATTAAGAACAGTAATCATTTGCTATATGCATGATTCCTATCAATGGGCGGGAGGAACAACAAGAAAGAGGCTCGTAATAATAATGCATGATTCCTATCATTTGCTATATGATGTCACGCTTGTAGCAACAATTAAGACTTCACATCAATACATGATAAATAATGATAATGATAGTAATAATAATAGGCAACGTTCCCATATATTATGCCCAAAAGTAATCGATCCCTCCCACCGCCAGTTTCTATATGATGCGCTTTCTTGTCCCAATTAAGTAATTCTCTTCCCGCAATTATATTCGTGCATTCATCTCAGATATGGTGGTGCCGACAATGCTTTGGAGTTTGTTGTTTAGCGATGGAGGCTTCGACATATGCCGGTTTTGGAACGAAGCTAAAGTTCGACTAGTATAAAAGCAAGGTCCCGGCTACATTGATTTCTCACCCTGATTTCACAAATATCAATCGATCGATTCGCAATACATAAAGAGAAAAACAAAGAGGGTCATTAATTATCAGTGAGGAGGAGTGCCCGCGCACAGAATGGGCTGCGCGTCGAGAGTAGCGGTGGTGGCGGTTCTGCTTCTGGGCATCTTGAGTGTGGCCGTTGACAGTGCCGATACGAGGATCCTCAAAGGACCTGACTGCAGGGGCCATTCCAAGGATAAGGAATACAACAAGAGAATGAAGACTCTACTTGATATCTTTGTGAGCGACACTAAGAACGTTGGCAGACATCATGGGGATTACGTTTACACCCATAGTTTCCCCAATTCCGACAAAGGTTCTGTCACTGGTCAGGCCATTTGCGACTCCCACTTATGGAAATGGGGTTGTGGGAAATGTCTCGGCGACGCCAGCAAATACATCCACCGCAATTGTGGCTCTACCCTCAATGCTACCATAATACTCGTTGACTGTTCTATCTCAGTCCACAAGATATGACTTCTGTGTCTGCCTCCTAGCTCCTCTACTACGTACTACTACACGCTCCTATCTCTTTTTTTCATTTTTTTTCATTCTCCAAGTTGTATTCGGGATCATTTTGTGGCCAAGAAGGCCCTGGATTTGTTTCCTACGGGGTGTTGGGTTGGTTTTGACTTCCGAGTGTGTTTGTGCTCAGAAGTTGGTCTTGTATAACTTTCATTTTCTTGCAAACGACTTAATTAATCACTATATTTAATATATATTGTCCATTTTCTATGATTCTATCCATAGTTGAGTAGTATTAGAATTATTATACCACAAGTTAAAAAAAATTACCAAAAATCAAAATTACTGTTCCTTAAGAAAAAATCGGAATCTATAGTTCACGGAGGGATATTCTGATTAAATTAGACCAAAATTTGTGTTCATGTAACCAAATTGTTGTGTTAAAAATAGGATATTTGTAACGCAAAATATTCGTCGGTAGCAACTTATTAAATCTAACCACATTGTTGCGTTAAAAATAGAATATTTGTTACACAAAATATTCGTCGGAAGTAACTTGTTAAATCTAACCAATTTGTTGCGTTAAAAACACAATATTTGTAACACAAAATATTCGTTGGAAGCAACTTATTAAAACTATTTCATATTGGGCAAACTGCATAATCGTCCTTTGGTCTTACTGGTTTTTTATAGTGGTTCATGTTCGAGTGATTTGTTCTTCCCCTTTTCCCCCTTTGCTTGCAATTAAGAGGAAATGACCGGATGAACGAACGAACTCCAGTTTTGATGCGTTGAACCAGTTTTGATGCATTTGTACCGTTACCATTTTCTGTAATTTCGGAATTGAATGGTCTGCTGGGGAAGAACCGGCTTGAGCTTCGTTTATTGTAGGGGAAGAACACATTGAATTGATCTGCAGAAGACGGAGAGTTCTCTGCAGATATGTTTATGTTACACAATAATTAAAAACAGAAACATCAAAAACACACAAATTGTATGTAGTGTAGTTGGTGTGGACTCTCATTTATGAACATGTAGTCCTATGTTCGAGTTGCATCATTTTTAAAGTTGTTTTTTATTGCCAACCTCATTAATCTACTGCTTCTTCCTCATTAATCTACTGCTTCTTAAATCAATATTTCTGACTAATTATTTCTAACGAATTCATATTAACAATTGCAAAAGATGGTCTGAAGGGTAAAAAAGGAATATTATAAACATTCCTACGACATCATAATCCGTCAGTAATGCTCTGTTTTTTGACGATTTATTTTAATATTATTGACGAACACGAGTTTGCTCACTAATATTATTTTTCTTTCGTAACTATTTCAAACCAACTATTCCTTACCAATGGAAAACATGTAGTCATTAAGACAGGACAGGTAGCTACATGTAGTGTGCATTTGTTCTAACCAACTTTTATCGACGACCTTATTATCATCGTCGAAAAAATGTAGTTTTTCTGAAGAGGAAATAAAATCCTTGCAAATATAAGTATACCAAACTATACTTTTCCGAGTAGATCTTTTTGGCGTCACACAAAATGTTATGAACCGTAGGCCAGTTTTTTGGCGTCACAAACAATAAATATTTCCGAAGTTTTGTGTAATACAGTGAGTAATGTTATTCATTATTGTCGAAAATAAAAATATCGTCAGTAAAAGTGACACAACCTTCCTCGTATATGTGAAATTCACCTTTAATGAGGAATGATTTTAACATTTATGATGAATTTAACTGTTAGTCGGAAATAACATAAGGATTTATGATACAAAGAAAAGTTTGTCACAAAAATGGTTATTTCGAAAGAAAAAACAATGTCGTCAGAAGGTTCTGGCACTTTTGCTAGTCTTTTGTAGTGGTTACCGCTTTATTTGGTGAGTGAAAGTTGGAATTGTTTCCGGGGTAGGAGATTTGGAGCTTCAAGGAAAAGACAAAACACACACAAACACAAACACAATACGACTCGCTCAAGGCGAGGTTATTACACAACACAATACGAAAGTAGTAGTAGTAGTTTATAGTCACACACACATAAACGAAAGAAAAATATAACAAAAGAGCTCAGAGTTCCAGGTGGATAGTTGGGCGAAAGGAATTGTCTCTGTCACATATCTCCCTGGTCGGCTACCTCACTAGGTCAAAGGCCCCGGCTCATCATCGAGAATGAGACCCTGGTGTCTAGCCATCTGCTCGAGGAGGTCGGTTTGCCGATGGAGAAGGGAAGTCACTCCCCCAAATTGGGTCTCAAGGCGATCCATCCTCTAGACCAGGGGATCACTGGCTGGTCTAGATGTTGAAGCTACTGCTGCTGGTGGTATGGGGCGCTAGAGCGTGGGATGCCGGCGGCGGCCGGGTGCTCGAGCAGGTGGCTTCTATGGGAGTGGAACACCTGGAGGTAGATTCAACCTCTCAATGTACCAAAATGGTCCAAAGGTGCGCAATAAGCACAAGGAGTGCAAGGTGCCCTCGTCAAACCTCGAGGTGCGCCCCTCCCTAGTGTCTGCCTCCTAGCTCCTCAAGATATGACTTCCGGCCGTGTCTGCCTCCTAGCTCCTCTACTACGTACTACTACATGCTCCTATCTCTTTTTTCATTTTTTTCATTCTCCAAGTTGTATTCGGGATCATGCCTACTATTCTACCTATACTATCCGCGTACAAGTTCGTTCAAATGACTTAATTATATTAATCACCATATTTAATATATATTGTCCATTTTCTATGGTTCTATCTACAGCCGAGTAGTATATTTATTACAAACGAATAATATAAAATAAAAGGGTGACCCGTTTTGTGGCCAAGAAGGCCCTGGATTTGTTTCCTACGGGGTGTTGTGTTTGTTTTGACTTCCGAGTGTGGTTGGTCTCAGAAGTTGGTCTCGTGTAACTTTCATTTTCTTGGTAATTCAAGTAATCTCTTTCGACAAATAAAAAGGTGATTTTCACCTTAAATTCGTGCAAACGACTTAATTATAATCTATATTCAAGTGAACTCTTTCGGGATCACGCCTACTAGTCTACCTGTACTATCCGCGCACAAATTCTTGCAAACGACTTAATTAATCACTATATTTAATATATATTGTCCATTTTCTATGATTCTATCCATAGCTGAGTAGTATTAGAATTATTAAACCACAAGTTAAAAAAAATTACCAAAAATCAAAATTACTTTTCCTTAAGAAAAAATCGGAATCTACTGTTCACGAAGGGAATAGAGTCGCAGACTGGCTCTCGAAGCACAGTCTCGTCTATCCCTTTGGTACGCATGAGCTAATTTATCCTCCTGTGGAGCTCGATAGAATCTGCAGAGAAGACATCTTGGGAATTAGCTTCCCTAGACAAGTTATTAGAACAGAAGGCACTTGAGCCGTGTGGTTTTTGGTTCTGCTTTTTGATCCCTTGTTTTGGCTCTGCTTATTTTTGTCCTGAATTCTGGTGCTCTGTTCTTAGCCGTTAGGAGCTTGTAATTCTTTGGCGTTTGCCTCCCTTCAATCATAAAAAAAATCTATAGCTTAGTAGTATATTTATTACAAACGAATAATATAAAATAAAAAAACCCAACCATCTCACCATAAATCGCTCACACTATTGATTACTATAAAGTATAAGCCAAATTATGTTATCTTAATCAATGCTATTTTGTTGGGGGTGGAGGAAACTATAGATCATTTATTCTTCATATGTCCGGTGGCTGAGGCTTTGTGGGGGATGTCAGACTTGTTGGCGGATTTTGAGATTGGATGGGTCGTTGCATTTCCTATTTTCTTTCGTCAGTTTTTAGATCCGCCGCTGCGAGGGACGACATGGTGGAGCGGGCAAACTTGCTGGGATAGTGCAGGGCGAGGAGGAATTATGAATTTAACAGGCGACAATGACCTTTGCTTTTTAGGTTTTTTATCTGTATTAGCATGTGTTAGTAGTGATTTCTATGTAGTAGTTATGTATTGACTATTGAGTATTAGCATCATACTAACACTTTTATTAAGGACATTATAGTATTTATGCCTTCTCCTTCCCTTCTCCTATCATTCCATTTACGAAACTTATAAAAATTACTATCGGGCTCCAAAACTGCTACTTAGTTTAATAATTGTATATTTTTGGGGCAGTTTGACAATTTTTCTCACGTAGAAAATTAAATGGCCCACAGTAAAAGACGACAGAAAATTAATGGGTAAATTGCAAGGTTGGTCATTGAGATTACTAAAAACGTTCATGTTTGGTTACTAAAAATATTTAAATCCATTCTTGGTCACTAAAATTAGTTAAATACTTCAAGTTTGGTCACTCTTCGTCCAACTCCGTTAACTTTTGCTTATGTGGCGGTCAACTCTAATAGTTGACTGTTAAATATATGATGTGACAGTTAAAAAATAAAAAAAATTAATCTTTTAAATTTTCCACCTCATTATCACTTTTATTAAAAAATCTAATCCCAATACACGGGGTCCGGATAGTATAACAACACTCTTTTTGTTGTTATAATAACAATAGGATTCATTAAAAGTAAAAGGGTAAATTAACAATAAAAAAATAAATAAAAATTAACCCTACGCATTTTGCAGTTCACTCTAAACCACAGGCGCCGTCTCCTTCAAACACCCGCGGCCGCTGGATCTCGTTTCTTCTTCTCCCCTGCCGACTTTCCCTGAAAAATCAAAACCCTCGCATGGCGATCGATCGACGGCGGGGCTTTCGATTTGGACACACGCCGAGGCACCATCCCACCGCTGATCATGTTGGAAGAATCGTCCAAGGGCAGACGGAGATGGCGCCCACGCAGCCATAGACGGGGTCCTTCAGCCGGGCTTCGGCCTCGTAGGCCACCGAGTTGACGACGCCCTCACTCTGGTGCGGGAGAACCCACAGTGATTCGAATCCGTCCACAAGGTTTTCGGCGCCAGCAATGTCGCCAAACTCTTATAGGTAAACCAACCAAATCCTATTACCATACCAAATCATTGATCAATCTAATGGAAACAATCTTAAACTGAGCCATACAAAATCCAATATCGAACCTTATGCTCATCCCAAAATGTAAACCAATTTTGTGATCCTTGCCCACCTATAAATAAACAAACTTGTAATCAACTGTTAATTATTTGTTCACTTGCAGCAAGTGGCAGAGGATCGAAGGGCAGAGGCTGTGGATTGCATGGTGTACGAGGCGAGCTTAAGAGCTAGTAACCCAGTGTACGGGTGCACTGGGATGATATATCAGCTGCAGGAGGAGATAATGAAGGTGCAATTGATGACGCCGAGCTTGTGATACAATTTACATATGTTATGCGATAGATAGGGATAGAGGGGAAGTGTACAAGTAAGATGTCATGAGGTCTATGTGCATTTGCCCATCAGTAGAAACCA